TTCATTTCTAGTGTAATGTTTTCAGGGTTCATTAATGTTGCAGCATTAATCAATAATTTATTTTAAATATTTTATTAATTACTGAGAATTTTGATCATTTCACCCCCCAATTCCTTCCAGATCCACCCTTTCTTCTCTACTCACTCAACTTTGTGTTCTCATTGTTTTTTTTAAGCCATCATCTCTGGTGCCCATATATTCTTGGGTGTGTGGACATCCTCCAGACTCGGTGGATCTTATAGGAAACTGACTCTTCCTCTCCTAACAGCTATCAGTTACCAATTGCTCCTTAGCCCGGGATGGGGATTTGTGTTGCCCTTCCTCTCAGTTCTGCATTCTGCCTGGCTTGAGCTTGCACAGACCTTGTGTTTGCTGTCCCAGCTGCTGCTGCAAGTTCATCTGCACAGCTGCCCTGCTGTGTCAGGAAGATGCTGCTTTATTTTAGGCATCTGCTACCCCTAGGTGCACCAGTCTTTCCACACCCTCTTCTGTGATGATCCCTGAGCCTTGTGGGGAGGCAGGGGTGTATCATTGATATCCTATCTGAGGCTGAGCATTTCACAGTCCTGTAATGTTCTACTGTGTGGATATATGACATAACTTATTGATTGATGGACACTTGAGCTGTTTTTAGCTTTGGACTATGAGAAATAACAATACATAAATACCTGTATACATTTGTGTGGGTACTTCTGGTTTTTTTTTGGGGGGGGGGGACAGGTGGAGGCTTATAACTAGCTATGGGAAGATGGACCTCATAGCTGCTTCGTACTGCTTTGAGAAGCTGTGTTCCTGTTTTCCAGAGCAGTTGCACCATTTTCTATTCCCACCAGAAGTAAATGAGGTCTCTGGCACTCTATCTTTGTCACTAGCTACATCCCATCTTTTGGTGTAAACTGTGGTCTGCTTGTAATTTTGTTTCGCATTTCCTTTATGATTTTACCTGTTATTTTTACTTGGTGCTAGTGATATCTGACAAAATATCCTAAGGCAGGAAGGGTTTATTCTGGCTCATGGTTCAGGAAATGCCATCCAACATGATGGAGATGGCTGGCAGCAGCTACATAAAGCACTGGTTAATTTGCATAGGTAACTAGGAATCAAAGAGGCTCCATCCCAAGTGGGGGGCAGGGTGTATCACTCAGCACCACTCCTGGCCCTAAGTCTGCCAGCCAGCTATATCCAGGAACCATCACAACCTCCCAATATAGTACCACCAGCAGGGAAGCAAGCATTTGAGCATGTGATTCTGGGGGAGATAATGCACATTCAACTGCTAGGGCTGAAATCCTTCCATGTGCTTATTGTCAGTTTTGTGTCTTCTTTGGATAATTCTCTTTGCAGACCCATTAATGGTTTTTAAGTTGGGCCATCTCTGTTGTGGAGTCTTAAAGGTGAGCTACCATCCATGTCATTATCTTAATCCAGTCCAACTCTGCTTCTACCATACTCTGCTGTGTTGTTATTAGCAAAGCCATCCCCCTTTGAGACAGCAGAGGCCCAGCAATACACTTGCTTTTTTAAGAGCATGATGAAGAGATCCATGTTTATGCTGGCTTTAGAAGTGTTAGGGGTATTCTTTGGTATCTGTGAGTATTGAAATTAATACCTAAAGTCGCTCATTTCAGCTTGAAGACTTCTTTTGCTTTTTTTTTTTTTAATAAGGAGAGTTAGCAAGATGAGTTAGCTAACAACTTAATTTCTCTGAGGACATCTTTAGTTTGCCTTCATATTTGACAGGTAATCTTCTTGGGCTTGATTAACAATTGTTTCCTTTGAGCAATTTGAACTATGATACTGTTTTCTCCTGTGATTTTTTGTAACCAGAAGCCAGATATTAACCTTATTAGGTTCCCTTATATGCAGCAAGTCATTTTTTGTCTTGAAACTTTTAGTATATCCTTACTCTTGTCTATTTTTATATTTGTTATGGTTTGTCTCTATGAGGAGTCTTTATTTTTATCTATTTGTAGTTTGTTGGGTTTCTTAGGTGTGTACACTAATGTGTTTCATTGATTTCTTTAAATATTCTGTTCTTTCTTCCACCCCCTGTCTCTTCCCTCCCTCCCTCCCTCCCTCCCTCCCTCCCTCCCTCCCTCCCTCCCTCCCTCCCTCCCTCCCTCCCTCCCTCTCTCTCTCTCTCTCTCTCTCTCTCTCTCTCTCTCTCTCTCTCTCTCTCTCTCTCTCTCTCTCTCCAGGGGACAAGGTTTCTCTGTGTAGCTCTGGAGCCTCTCCTGGAACTCACTCTGTAGACCAGACTGGCCTTGAACTCACAGAGATCCACCTGCCTCTGCCTCCCAAGTGCTGGGATTAAAGGTGTGTGCCACCACTACCTGGCCTCTCTTCCACCTCTTTTTCAGGAGCATTAGTATGCTTGGATGACTCACATTTCTGTTCTCTGAGACTCTGTTTCATTTTGTTGATTTTTCCCCTTTTCTTCTTTGGATTGTATCCTCCCTATTGGATATCGATGAATGTCCTAATTCTGTCTCCTGACACTTCTAATCTACTCTTGAACCTCTCTGGTGAACTCTTCATTTCAGTTACTGTACTTTTTAACTCTAATGTTTCCATATGGTTCTCTTTTGTGTTTGTCTCCTTGTTGACATTTTTCAGTTTGCTGTGACATTGTCATTTGTCTTGATTATTTTGGCTCATGATGAGGCAGACCATTATGATAGGAGGTGCATGCTAGAGACAGGCTGTTTACCTGATTTTGGGGTGGTGGTATAAAGGAGTCATTCAAGGACAAACCCCCTATTACCTCCTGGAGTTTCCAACATTGCTTTCTTAGTTTAGGTTCTCTAGAGGTGTGTGTCTGTGAGGGGTGTTTGTGTGTGTGTGTGTGTGTGTGTGTGTGTGTGTGTGTGTGTGTGTGTGTGATACGATAGCAATAGACACATTTGCCAAAGAGTTAAGTTGGCCCATGCTACTGGACTTCCTCCTTTGGATCCTTCTAGCTCCCCAGCCTATTGAACTGTGCTGTCCACACGCAGAGCAGATTCACTGGCTTCAAGTCACAGACACACCCAAATGTGTAGTATTCTAATGTTCTAGGACTCTCTCAATCCACTATGGTGGCAATCAGGATTGACTGTCATCAGTGTAATTACTGAGACACCAAGGCATCAACACATGAGATTTGGGGGAGGGGCATTTAAGATATAACCCATAATATACATCTTGAATATATAGAACATCATGATCAGTCATACCTCAGTAAGCCTGAAAATAATTTAAAAGGTAGATATCAGGAGTCAACAATGTTCCATAATCCCCTTCTTTAGAAATAGAGCTAGCTATTTCTGAGATAAATGACCATGACCATCCTCAGCCTAGGTCATATCATAAAACTATTATCTTTTAGGTTCAGAATCACCAGCTCTGTGTGTGTGTGTGTGCGCGCACGCGTGTGCATGTTTCCACATTCAAATACATTCCCTTAAAAGATTATTTTATTTCTTCTTTTGAGTAGAACTTACTAGCATACATATATTTCCATGGCCTCCATATCGACCACTTTTCTCCAAGCTTCCCTATGCCTCCCAGTACTTTTAGGGGTACACTTTCCACACCATTGGCAGCTGGTTGGAAAATGTAAACTCCTTTGGATGGCAACCCGAGTCAGCATGGTCAGAGAATTATGTCTGCCAAAGGCAAATGAAACAGATCTTTCCACAGGCAAGTCAGGGCATCTTAGGATGATTCAAACTAATGCATCTTTCCTCCCATTAACTTTTGGATTCCGGTTATTTAATGCAAAGCAACACTTTCTTCCTCTGCCATCAGCAACCTTAGCATGGGAGGGAGATGTAGAAGGAAATGTGTTCCATATTTTTGGAGGCCACTACATCCTAGAATAGCTGTTTCAACTCACCCCTCTGCTAAAAGCCATCAGTGGCTTCCAATCCACCCACAACCAATACCTAGACTCTAACAGTCTAGAGACCTTTGCTGCCCTAATGGTCTCAAGTCCTCTTCTTTCCCTTTGTTTCTGCATCTTAGCCCCTCACTCCCATCCTCTTGATGAAACACAAAACAATAACATGTCTCAAGCATTGTGTTAAAGGCCTGGAGAGCCCTACTTCCTTTAATATTCATCATGTATTTCTGAATTCATTACTTAAGATTTGTCTTGTTGCCAAGGCTCAGACAGCATAGTAATCAATCCCCAAGTGGCACATGGCCAGCCTATGATAGAACTAATTTACACCCAGATTGTCTGATATCAGAACCCAGACTCTAGATAGTTCCTTTCCTTTCTTGATCTTTGCCCTCCCCGCCTTCCCCTTTCCTCCATGTGCTGTCTTGGATTTCCCATATTCACCCACTCAACCCTTTCTCTGTCCCTACACACTGATCTGATGCCCAGCCATCAGCAGCCACCTTCCTTGGCAAGAGTTTTTTCTGGATTCTAGCAATTCAGCTCATGCCCACAGCAGATGGGTTGCTTGGGAATTGTTATACAACCATCTCAGAGCAATCTCTAGGTAATTCTGACTGAGGAAATGTATGCATATCTAGCTCCCTGTGCCCTGTGTGAGCCTCAAGAGTGCCCAGAGTCACCAAGTAGACTATGCTGTACCTGCCTGGGGTCATCACTTGCTCCTCCATACTTTCTGACAGCTCCCTTCTCACATTGGGCTCACTTGGGGACTTCCTGATTCATCTTGTTAATATACTGTTGGCACTTTAGTTCATCCCAAGGCCTCATCTTGAAGGCACCCCAAACTAGGATATCTGTGGCTGCCTCCTAGGTGCTCCTAGTGTTTCTGGCTCCGTGGGCCTCAACCATGACTCTAGATCCCAGACCCTGACTTTCCCCTTCACAAGTCCTTGTCAGAATGTTTAACTGAGTCTGCCTACATCATCATCATTTGTTAGTTATTTTCTTGCAGTATCTACCTTTAGCTCCATCTGGGAATGAGCTAGAAAGACTCTGGCTCTGAAGTGTCCCTACTGTCTGAATTAACGAACAGTCCAAAATAGCTACTCCAGATATTTATTGAGCAGATTGATTTGTTGGCTTAACTGGATAAAACCTAAACTAAAGCTATATTTATGCTATATATATGTGTGTTTAGGATCCCAATGTCATCACTCAGGTCATGATTTCAGGACATTCCACATTGCCAACAGCCTTGTTTGAGAAAGGAATACATTCAGCTTCCAAGAGCACTCTGACCCTTGAAACACTGAGGGCAGAATGAAATGATCATTTCCACTCAAGGGGATGGGATGTGCTTTTCTTGAGACACAAAGGCTTGTTCTGTTCCCATATATTTTCTGTCCACAATTCCTTGTCTTTGGTCTGCCTGGTGATTTATTAAGCAAAATTGTCTATTCTTTAGAAGCACAGGCTTAATGATTGTATAGTTTCTTTGCACAAAGTCATTCCTAATAAAAACTCAGCACTCTAGGTCCTTCAAGCTCCCATTGGCTCCATGGACCCTCAGCCTCCCTGATGAAGCCTCACATTTAAAACTCTTACTCTTGTTTTATGAACTGAACTCTGCCATCTGTGGCAAGCCCATACCTTTCTTTGATCCTAGTAAGAGAGACTCGTGCTGTGATCTCCTCACCACTCAGGGTTTTTCTCTTCCCTCAGGAGATGACAGGGCCAGGATATAGCTACCAGTTCCCTTTGAGCTATGAGATGAGTGGTCGCTGTTGGCTTCCATTCCATCTACTTCCCAAGAGAACTTCATATGCCTACAGAAGACTTGGGTATTGCTGGAATAAAGAGTGTTGAGTACCAGCCTTGTGCCAGGCATGTAGAAGCAGTCTGGTGTGTGCTGGAGCCCTCCTGCCTCCTTCTGTTGAGCTGTGGGCCTGGCCCAGGGTTGGAAAGAGCTAGAGGAATGTCTGTACTTTAGGTGTCATTCACCCCGAAGCTTGGGGTGGAAGTGGGGGACCCAGGACTTGTAGGAGTGGAAGCAAATAGTGTCTTCACTCTGCAGATCTGGTATTCTATGTTGTAGTGTATGGGCATTTCTAGAGCTTTCCAGCTTTTGTGGGAGCCTCTTTGTGCTGATTGCCGTCCCTCAGTGGATCCAGTTCCAGGCTCTGGGTTGGTCTTTCTCATACGATGATCTGTATCAGCTTTCTGGGTCATGAGGAATGAACTAAGGTCTGCTCCTTGCTGTAAGGGGGAGAGGAGGAGGTTGATCCTGGCTTTCCTTGGGCTTATTTGATTGTTACTCAGGAGCACCTTCTAATGGAGAAGCCCTCCCCCATACTGTGGTGGCTAGTAACCTTGAGAAGGACTTGGCTTATATTGTTATTTTCTTGTCCTTTATTAATGTGGTCTTTGGGGAAAGTGTTTGATAGTCTGTCCTAGACATTATTCATCTTACAAGTCAGGCAAGATTCTAATCATTTAAAAAAAAGGAAGAAAATTGTTGTAATTGTCGACTGTGGTCAAATAAAGGATCTGACTCCAAGGATAACTTCTCCCCATGACTTTGTCCTGTGACCCTGTGGCTTAGTTCCTATCTTTGGTAAAAACCCCCAGTATCCTGCAATCTATTTTAAAAAGCATTCATTTGGACTGGGAAGGTAGCTCATTGGGTAAAGTGCTTGCTGAATCAACATGTGGGTCTGACTCTAGATCCCTATCATCCATGAAAGAACCAAGTGTGGCAGTATGTATCTGTAATCCCAGTACTGGGGGTGGAGACTGGTGGATCCTGAGAATCTGCTTGCTAGCCTGTCTAGTCCTGCCTGCAAACTCCAGGTTCAGTGAGAGACCGTGCCTCCAAAACAAACAAAGAGAAACTGTTGAGCAAGAGATCTGGACATCAACATCTGGCTTTCACACATGGCTCCATGGGACATGGGCACACACACACACACACACACACACACACACACACACACACACACACACACACACACACGTTCCTGCATGCACACAGGGAGAACGTCCATTCCACACATGCTTACTGAGCACTTTCTAACTTTCTATGTCCTTGGCTTGGGCTTGATGCAGGAGGATACAATGGTATAAAACTGCCACAAAACATTGTTTTCATAGAATTCACAGAGTAGAACCACTGTGAGCACAGAGGTTGCCCTATGGCAGTTCAGCAAAGGTGTCCCTTACCCCAGCAGATGCAACCCTGGACACAGAGCCAAATGGAAAGGAGCAGGCCTTCCTCCTGCACTGGGCATCCTTGGACAATGGACATCCTAAACAACCTTCCTCAGCAGCTGTGATGCATAACAGTGGATATTAAATAAATAATTATACAAATGATCCATTATAATACCAAAGCACACTAGTTGGAAAATGTATCATGCATAATTATGAATGTACGAAGCCAGAGGGATCCAGAACAGTAACTTCTAAAGAGTGGGGTACGACCAGGTCAAGAGTGCTATGAGGAGAATAATCTCCATGCACCTTCCCCTCACCTTCATGCACATGGTGGGCAGGGACAGAGCTCACTCTGGTGATGGAGAAGGGGCCATAGCATGTAATCCATTTTAAGACATTAGCTAGATGCGCTGGTAAATCCAACTCCTGCCATGTGGTCAACTCCCATCCATTTGCTCCTAACTATATCTTGTCTTCCAGTAACTTAAGTCCTGGGTAGTGACCCAAGGCTTTATCTCCATTGGGATAGCAGTTTAGTCTGTTAAGAATTATGTCTGGTGATTACAGTATTCATCATACTTTGAGAAACTAGGGTTTAGCAACACAAGGCCAAGGTCTGAAAGGAATAGGCATTCTATCTTCCTTCCTAGGTATGAATAAGCTCAAATGCTTCTAACTTCCCCATGTTGCCAACTCAAAAGAAGGCCGCACCTGTGTTCTTCATGTTTCCCTTCAGTTTTTGTGGCCTCAGATGGTGCTATTCATGGAGGGGGTCCAGACACTGAGCTCTGATGAGCACCTGGATCAGAGAATCCAGGCAGGAAGGTGACTTAGCAATGGAAGAGGCAGCATGATCATGAAGGATGGGGTGATTACACTTTTCTTTAAAAACAAAAACAAAAACTTACATCAACCCAGAGTTCCCGAGGTGTGGTGATGCATGCCCTGTGGGCTAATCAGAATCTCTCATATTGATGTCATTCTAAGCAGAAGTAGGTTCAGGATGCTGTTTTTTCCCTTGCTCTGGCCTAAAATGACATACAGTATAAAGGATGGGAGGACGAAGGGTTGTCTGGCCTCTAGCTTCTCATTTCAACCCTCTTGACAACAAATTTGATCTAGATTCTGCACCTTACCAGCCTTCTCTACCTGCTGTGCAGTCTTCTTCAGTTTCCATCATAACCCAGAAAGCCCAAAGCTTGCCTCTGTGACCTCAACCCCAAGTATCTGCCATGGTTATTCACCATTTTCTGTCATAATGCATGGGGGAATTCCAATCTTTGCCTCTGTGACCTCAACCCCAAGTGTCTGCCACAATTATTCACCATTTTCTGTCATAATGCATGGGGGAATTCCAACCTGTGGATATTTCCAAACAATGCCTGAACCAGTTTTCTTCATTTTCTAAAATAAGGCGCTCTATAAGGACAGGTTCCCAAACAAATAAGGGGCTGGAAATTAGGTATTAGCATACTCTGTCCTTGCAGGTGGAATTCATCACTCTCCTCAGTTACACCTTTGGAATGAAAGGGGGATTGTAAACTTTTGAAAAAACAGTTGGCCATTTGCAAGGAAGTTCCAATGGGCAAGCGATGGGTTCCCAGTCACTCAGTGTGAGTCTATATCATCTGTCTGCAGTTGATCAAGGAGCTGCTCTCTGTCAACAGCTCTATTTTGTTGAGCTCATGGAAATCTTCTTGATCTTAGAAAGGCCAAGGGATTATCTGTCTTAGTCAGGGTTACTATGGCTGTGATAAAACACATGATCAAGAGCAAGTTGGGGAGGAAAGGGTTTATTTGACTTACACTTCCACAGTGTAGCCCATCATTGAAGGAAGGCAGGACAAGAATTCAAACAGGGCCAGAACCTGGAGGCAAGAGTTGATGCAGAGGCCATGGAAGACTGCTCCTTACTGCCTTGATCCCCATGGCTTGCTCAGCTTCCTTATAGAACCTAGGACCACCAACCAGCCTAGGGATGACACCACCCACAATGGACTGGGCTCACTCCTGTCAATCACTAAGACTATGCCTTATAGGCTTGCCAAATCTCATGAAGGCATTTTCTGCCTGCCTTTCTTTTTTCCTTCCTTCCTTCCCTTCCCTTCCTTGCTTCCTTCTTTCTTTTTTGTTTTTGTTTCTTTGTTTTGTTTTTTTTTTTAAACAGGGTTTCTCTATACTGCCCTGGCTACAGTGGAACTCAGTCTGTAGACCAGGCTAGCCTCAAACTCAGAGATCCACCTAACTCTGCCTCCCAAATGGAGGCATTTTCTTAATGGAGGTTTCATTCTTGTTTTCTTCTTATGCACTCCTTTTGCCCCAATGTAGGCTGCACAGGTTTGTGAGATGCAGTCCCCTTCCAACTGTCGGTCCCTGGGGCAGTGTTGGGTGTTGGTGCACAGAAATTTTGAGGCTGAGTGGAAAGTTTATAAGCATTGGGAAGTGGATGGCAAGAATGTGAGTCCAAGGTAGCTTCAAGGATTTGATAATCTGACTTACCTAAAACTTGATTTTCTCATCTCTAAAGCAAGTTTAGAAATATTTTATAGTCTTATTATAAGAATAATATAATTGGCCTTCCAGAAATGCCAGTATCTCTATTTTAGTCCCAAGTGATTGAATCGAGTGATGGTATGCACACATAGACCAATTGATGTTATTATTTAAGGGATTAGTTTAAATGATATTCCATGGGAATTCTGAAACAAGGATAACATGATAAATCAATTGTATTATTTATAATAGAAACAGTTGTCTGGATTCTGACTGAAGCCCACAAAAACAGTTTCCCACATATGGCACCCAACATGTGGGTAAGCGTGGGGGATGAGGGAGGGGGTGTGGGGGGGATAGAAGTGATGGACACCACAGAGGCTCAATCCACCTTCCCTCTTTCATGTACTAACCCGGCAAGTCGGCTGGATTCTAACTGAAGCCCACAAAGAAAGGTCCCCATAAGAAACAGGCAGCTATAAACTTTTAAAATGAAAGATATGCATAAGCAATAAACAGAAAACGAAAAGCCTGTATTTTCAAAGCAAAAAAAATATTTATAGAAGACTTAAGTAAATAGAATATATACCATGTGTCATGAAAGGATGATTCGGCAAGCTACTAATTTTCCCTAGGTTGTAGATGCAGCCTAGTTCTATTTTAAAAATAGGTGTAGAAATTTAAACATTGATTATAAAATTTATCTGACAAGTCAGAGAACCCAGAATAACCAAACAAATTTGAAATGTTTAAAGTATCTAATTATCAGAGTTTTTATAAAAAGTGTAGCGAGCCTGTGTATTTAAGAATAGATGAGTGACTAGGTGCAATGACTCAGCAGATAAAGGTGCTCAGTAACAAATCTGGTGACCTGAGTTTGAGTCCTCAGGTCTGCAGGGTCGGAGAAGAGAACCGACTTCTTCAAGTCTTCCTCTCCACTCCACTTGTGCACTGGGCTAAAGTTATGCATGCATGCGCACACAAAAATTAAATAGGTAATAAAGTAATGAGAGCTTTTTAAAGAAGCCAAGAGTGCAGAGGCATGTTACTAGGCATGTTAATGAAACAATACAGTGCTAAAAAATAGACCACATGTATGGTAGGTTTAAATTTGATATAGATAACAAGGTAGTTTATTGATGAGAGGAAAGTTTTCACTCAGTAGTAATAAAAATCCTGAATAAAAAAGTCTGAGAGAAAAAAGAAAAATTTGGCTCAAACATACCCTATGCAATACTAATCCAAAATGGGTCAGATATTAAAGTAAAAGAGAAAAATCCCTTAGAGGGTGGTGTCAAGAACATTGTCGGTACTTAGGGATAAGCAAGGATTTCTTAGAAGGGATATACAATACAAACAATAAAATAAAATGATAAATAGAACTTCACTAACCCCCCCTTTGTTTTTCTATTTCACCAAAGACATAAAGAAAATTGAAGGTCAAGTCACAAACTGAAGGAAACAATTTTCCAGTCATGTATTTCACAAAGGCCTTCTTGCAGACCAGTGATTTTAAAAGAGACCCCAGGAGTTGGGGGTGTGGGATGTGAGACTGAGAGGTGGAGCACACAGATGGCTTCGATAAAATGCTCAGTATGGAAAAAAATGCAGCACAATGAAACTCTAGGCAGAAGACTGTTCCTAAAGGAAGGCCACTGGAAGGGTGTGAACGGGTGCTCTGTTACTGACTCGCAGAGAAATGTGAATTAAACCTGTATAAGACAGTGCCTCACAACATGACTGAATTAAAGAGAATGGACTGCATCACATGTTGGATATACAGTTGAGTGGAACTCTCAAATATTGCTAGTGGAAGTATCAATTCAAATGACTACCTTGAAAATTGGTCTTTGGTTTCTTATAAAGTTCAGTCACACACTTGTCCTATTACCCAGCAGGTCCACTTCCTAGCTATTACCAAGAGAAAACCTTGTGTCCACAGAAAAATTTGTACAGAGTGTTAAAATAGTAATTTCCTTTCTAATAATCTCAAACCAGAAACAATACCAATGTTTGTCGACAAGAGACTAGATAGCGATTAAAGGGAAATTGCTGGGACGGGAGACATGACTCTTCAGCTCAGAGAACTGGCTGCTCTTGCCATGGATCTGATTTCAATTCCCAGCATCCACAGTGGGTGGTTCACAGCTGCCTATAACTCCAGTTCCAGAGACTCCAATGCCTTCTTGTGGTCTCCTTGGACACCTGCCTGCATGTGCTGTATATACAGACACATAGGCACATACACACAAATTTTTAAAAAGTAAAAATAATAAGAATTTGAACAGATGGGTTGAACAAGCTCTAGTAGGTGGTCTCACACACACAAGAGTATACATCAGCACTAAAGGCTGGATGAGCTTAACAAAGACATGAGGACACAAAAGTCAGTGGGTGGGGAAAAGGGAGTGGATCTGGGAGGAGTTGGGGGGAAGGGCATGATTTGATCAAAATGCAATGTTTAAAATGATCTGATAGAGCAAGTGAGAAAAGGGAGGGTTCTTTAGGGGAAGGGAGGGAGTAAATAGTGATGAAGGAGAATGGTGACAAAATGCTACTAGGATATCTGAAAAAAACATAGGGAATCATACTATTAGCTATTTACCCAAATAAAAATCTATAATACACATAATTCTATGTAAAAATATACCTTTCTCATCTGGGCTGATAGTCTTTCCTCCAGAGCCAAAGACCACCTAGCAAAAAAAACCCACTATCAGACTAGGGAAGCCCTCTTTCAAGTTGTTGGCCAGGGCTATTCAAGAAGCTCCCCAAACATACAGCCTACTGCTGTTGCTCTTGGTTGCTCCTGGAGGTGCGAGGTAAGTCCCTGTTCCTGAGGACACCATGCAGTTCAGATGTAGAGCCCGGAGACCTTAAAGCTGGAACTGACCTGGATGCCTCCTCCCTGTGGACTAGCTTTCATGGCACCAGAAAGTGTCATGCAAGCTTCCAAAAGAACCAGTGATACTGAAGTTCACTGGCTCCTAGTTAGTCTTCTTGGTTCTGCTTTTATTTATCTCCCAGCCATTCATACATGTCCAATTCATTTCCTGCTACCCATTGAACTTCTTAGGATAAAACTGATTTAGAATAAAATTCAAATGACTTACTAAAAGCCCTATAAAATTCTAGCCCAGCTTATTCCTGAGACTTCCGCTCATGTTGTTCTCCCTTCCAGCTACACTAGCAGCACTCTCCTTTGTATGCTGGGAATTGAACCCAGGGATTCACATATGCTAAGTGTGACTGTACTCTGAGCTCCGTGTCAAAGCCCTATACTGGCATCTGGTGGTACCTTGACTATATCCTTTTCACAGATCCATACTGATCCCTGTTTGGCTATTCTTTCTAGCACTCTTTCTATAGCTTTCCCCTGCCCATCATTTGCTTATATAATGGTAGATTTCTCCTGCTCTCACCTAGCATCCTCTTTCCCAAAACCCTGTTTTGCTTCTTTACTGATACTCTTGGTAATCAGTAATGATTTCTGTCTCTAAATCCATTGGGGCTAGAACCAAGTCTGATATTTGTTCCCTAGAATCAACATGCTAGCTAAGAATGTAGCAGATATGAACAAATATTTGTTGGCAGAGTGACCTCATAAAGCTAAAGCATTTCCTCCAAATTCTGTGTTTTACTGCCTACATTTGGGTGGTGCAGTGGTTATTTGTCAACTTGAGATCTAGAATCCTCTGTGGGAGACAGGACTCTTGTGATGTCTATGAGG